CTCAGACAACTCTGGGCAAAGTCGTCTTGAGGTTAAAAGGCAGATGCGGCATATATGGGAGATACACCACCCTTTGGTTTCCACATTGAAAAGTGCCATCTCTACCCTTCTGAACAGTCATCACTAAAAGTAGACCTGATAATTCAAAGCCTGGATGAAAACAGATCTTGTGATAACACCTGGAGTTTTAGCCTGCACTAAGTAAGCCTGAGCAGGGTCTTTACCAAAGAGTCTTAACTATAAGGATGGTACTTCTGTAAAGCTCTTAACACCGACTTTGCTTTGATAGAGGAAGAAAGTCCAAGAGGAGGCTAATGAGCAGGTTCTTTATATGGAGACTTTCAAAGGTTCTGCTAACAAGGCTCAGTTAACCAGGGAGAAGTTTTGTAAATGCATAATACAACAGGCAGAACAAAGTTACCAGAAAAGGGGATTTTATCAGGCTGTGACTTTATATCTATTAACAAGAAATACTATTTTTTTCTGTCATGCTTCCTTTTTGCTGCTCTCAATGTTCTACTTCTTATTTCTATATATCCGTCTCTATATTTACCTAATCTGCAACTATAAACAAGAGTGCTACAAAAAGAAAAAAAAAAAAAAAGTAATTGCAAGGCAAGCATAAGTAGCCAGAAGGACTTAAAATTGACCATTCTGGAGAGCAAAGACTAGCAAAACATCCCCATGCAGTGCCTGGAGGGCTGCAAGCTGAAGGCAGCTCCTCTGGTCACTGCACAGCCCATGTAAGAGCATGGGGTCAAAGGAAAAATGAGCCAATCACAGACACATCATTATTTTTAAACACTCATAGCTATAGATGAACAATATATTTACTATGGAACTGTGGGAAGTTTTCTGGTTGGAAACATGAGGCTGTGGCCACCTACTTACAGCACCGTGGTCGCCCGCCTGGGAAAACCACGCATCTAAATTTCTACATCAGCCTACCCAACTGATTATTTTTCTCCCGCATTATTATTTCAGGAGGAGACACCTTTGTCTAACAGCAGAGGAGAGATACTGCCCTGTGTACGCCCCAGTGTTGTGATACCATAGTGACATCCCCTCCAAAGAAGGCGGTGAAGGGTGAATAAGTTTCCTCTCCGCCACAGCTTCGGTTCCTCCCCTCTGCTGTACTGAGTCACCACATCCCATGTGCCGCCATCCTGAGCCAAATGCCATCATTGATCAGCTCTGATACTGCAAAACCAACTCCAAATACCCGCCTTTAAAACCTCCTCCTAAAAAGCACCAAGAACAGAGTAAAGGATAACCCAAAGCCCAAGGGGCAGAACAACCTTTTCTGTGCTGACGATCAGCTATGCCTCTCACGCATCGCCGCATCCAGGTCAAAAGCAATGAAAGGAATTTCTAGGCTGCATCTGGCCCACAGACCAAAGACTCCTGGGCTAAAAGGGACATCTGTACCACCGCTCAACAGCCAAGCTGCTCGGTTACACATCCCCTGCCAAGAACCCTGGTGCAGCAGCAACATCCAAGATGTTCTGAATGACTGAGCAACAGTGATGAAACTCCACGTGCGCACAGATCCGTTCCTTTGTGATCAAGCCTTTTTGGGGGATAAATAAGCCTACAAAAGCTTCCTATGGAAAAAAGCAGTGTAACAAAAAGTACAGGTTTCCAAGAACACCTGACATCTTCCACTGCATTGTCCTCTGTAACATCCTAAAATCACAGAATCACAAAATCACAGAATCTTCTAGGTTGGAAGGGACCTTAAAGATCATCTTGTCCAACCGTCAACCTAACTTTGACAAAAATAGACACCCGCACAACAAACAAAAAGCATCACCATCACTAAACCATACCATCCCAGAAATGTGATGGGACATCAGTGTCAGCACACAAAGTTCAAGTAAATGGAAGCTTAAGTAAACATATCGATAAAAATGCTAGTGTCAGATGAGGCAGTGGTGAAAAAGAAAAGAAAGCATTTGTATAGCCCATCTGATAGCTTCATTGTGTGAAAAAGCAGAGATTCAATACAGGCTCTTAGTAAGTCAATGGCTATACAGAGAAAAGACCAATAGCATCTAATTTCTAATCAGCCACTAAACTGTCACACAATACCAAAATCCTGCCCAGATTCATAAGAAGACAGCAGGGTGAGTCATGGCAGTACTTAGTCATGGTGAAAACAGTAACACAACCAAGAACACTAACAATCTCCTATTTAAATTTTGTTTTAGGAGGTGAAATGATACCAGCTATGAGTCAGTTCATATTCTTTGGTTGTACAACAATACGATACAACCCCACAGGAACATCTGACTGGTCCAAGGGCTGTTAAGGCAACAGATGCTTTCCTCAACTTAAAACATGGTTTTGCATTAGCAACAGCAACTCCACAACTTGAAAATGAAGTTACATATCTTTCATTCCAGTGCTCTTGCTGTCACAACATCTGGATAGAAAAGCTGGAAGCCTGCAGAAGGCAGAAAGCAACCAAGTGCCTCCAGAAATCAGCATCTCTACAAAATGCCAGATGTTGAAATGGCATGACAATAACTCTCATTTCAAGTTGGACAACTCCTTAGATGCAAAGTTTCGCAATAAAAAAAAACAACACACAGAGGACAGATGCCTGGCACGTGTGTTAAGGCACTGGGATAGGCTTCACGCTAAAATAGTCGTGGTGGGAGATGATATTGGGCAGAGAGAGAACGCATGAAGGAAGCTGGTGACATGCCAAGGATGTCACCAATGACACAACAGAGCCTAATCCACGCCACAGACGACATTGGGACATAAGAAGAACTAAATTTACAACCTAAGTTATTGTCAGGGATTTTTCACCTGAATTGTATCTAGTTGTTAAAGTGCTAACCTTCTGAATAACTTCTGAAACAAACACAAGCACAAAATATGTGAAATAAGCATCCCTCTCCGTTATATTTTTGGATGCAAAAATGCAAATAGCAGCAGCAGGACTAGAAATGAAGAAGCCGCAGCGTGGCTAATATTATGCCAGCAAAAAGCAAACAAACAGAACTTCGTTCCTTTGCCAGCCCCGCTGCAAAAGCACAACACACGGCACGTATTAGTCATGTTTCCCTCCACAGAGAGCTTTCCCTCTCAGTCACGCTATCAGTCTCATCTGAAACCTTCTCCCTGCAGTTATGGAATAAATCGGAGCCTCACTGCTTCCACCCCAGCCTATTTCCTCTCGCAGCCCCACAGCTTCCTCCTCGCCGCCTAAAATCCCTTCTGGCAGGCAAGAGGCTTCCAGACCGGGGTAGCCAGGTTAAGCCTTCCACTTCTCACTGTTCCCAGAGAATTCCCTGCAGCTCCTGAGGGTCCTCCAGAGTGGCTGACCGAGGGGCTGCCACCCCACAAACCAAGTGGCAGCCATGGCAAAAGCAGAGGGCTCCCAGGCTGGTCCACCCCTCCTGAAATACCCCCAGGTTTTTTTTTTGGTGAGTAGCAGGGACTCCCCACCCCGCCATATAATTTGTTTTCTCCATACTACACCTTTCCAGGTTCCACATATATGAACAGGAAAGGCAGCCATCAGAAGAGCCATCAGGAAACCAGCCTGTGCCACCCCTGCTTGGTGCACGCAGCAAGGCTGTGCTCAGTGGCCAAACACACATGGTCCCCACTTGCAGCTGCCAAGGAAATGCAAGGAAGATCTGATCTGATATGGAGAGGGGTGGTAGGATGCAAAAGGATGTATTTATAGAGTGAGTTAGTGTAAACCATGGTGTCCTGGGGCAGCACCCACATGGAAGACTCAGCTTTCCGCCTCTGCCTTACCTAAGGCCCCTTGGCAGATGTCTGTGCGAGTGGCTCCACCGGCTATGAACTGGGGGCTGGAACACAGCTCCTGGGAACAAAACAAGCCTGAGATTACATATACTGCTGGTAAGGGCAGGAACAAGGCAGATTTAAACAAGTGACTGGCCACAGCAGAACACCACCACAGAGATGGAGCGGGTCAGGAATGAGTGCGGGGCACCAGACACACCAAGCGTGGTGAGAACAGGAGCTGGTGACCAAAGCTGGTGGGCAGCCATCTCACTTCACAGTATGTGCCAGGAGGTCCACTGCATTTTTACACACGTGCACGCACCGTTCCACTATTACCTCCCCGTGACTGACTACGTTGGGGTCTTTCAGAGTTGCCTACACACCCCGGAGTCCCTCTGGCCTGATGGCTCCTGTGGCCAGACAGGGGCTGCTTCGGTAGCCAGAGGTGCACGTTGAGCAAGGGGTCAAAAGAAACCTCCACATCGTGGTCGGCTCATCTCTCTGCTAAGGAAAAGAGTTACCCCAAGCGACAGCCCCGAGTGCCACCCGAAACAAACCGTTTATCCACCGGAGACCCCAGGCCGGCGAGCTGAACGGCTTTTTGGCTCTTTGTTTTCCAGATGGGGCACATTACCCCGGGCCAGGGGACATCCCCAGGGCTCTGAGCGGCCGCAGCCTCACAAAAGGGGGGGGGCACCGGGATTTTTGGCAGCGCCTGGGCGGCTGCGGGAGCGGGTGTCTGCCCGGAGCCACCCATTCCCCGCTCCGACCCGCCGCCGTTGCCGGTCCCGGGGGGGCGGCCGGAGAAACGCGTCTCCGGGTGGGCCGAGGGAGGGAGGAGGGGGAGAGCAAACAGCACCCGCAGAATTAAATCAAACCCAATTTTAGGGGAGAGGAAAGGAAGAAAAACAAAAGACAAACAGTCGGGTGAAAAGGCGCGGTGGTGGCGCGGAAGGATGCTACCGGGACCGCCACCGGGAACACCCCCGGCCACCGGGAACACCCCCCCCGCCGCCTCCCTACCGTGGGTCTGCGCCAAACGACGCCCTGCGTCTTGAAGGAGCTGGGCCCCAGCTCCCGGTAACCGAGGGCGGCGGGTCCGGCGGGGAAAGAGGGGTCCTGGATCCGCCCCGGGTTGCTGGAGTCCCTCCGCACCGGGAATCACCCGCACCCCCTCCAACACCCCCCCGGTCTCCACTTCTGTTCACCGTGGACCCGGAGGGAAGCACGTCCACCCCCGCAGCTGGGCACCTCGTTGGCTTCGCACCTGCGCCAGCTCTGACGTATGCACCAATTAACAAAAAAAATCGGTAATTCCTGCGTAAAAAACCAGAAGGATCCAGGTCCAAATCTGTAAGCTTAGATTAAAAAAAAAAAAAAAAAAAACCTGGACGGAGACATGGAAGTAAAGCACGGAAATGGCTTGGATTATTTCACAAACTTTGAAAATATTGGTCTTTTGTCTGTGCCTGTTTGAAAGCAGCATTTCCTCAAGTCTTTTCCAGGGGTTGTTTGATTTATACCCCCCAAATTTTCTGCCTCAGATGTAACTTGACACTAAAAAAAAAAAAAAAAAAGTCAAAGCGAGCAAAAACCTAATATGACTTAAAAACTAATCCGCTACACTGTATTGTCGCCCCATTACAGTTCTGAATGCTGCCTGCAACCAAAATAATTAACAGTTTGATTTGCTGGTGGTGCCAAACCACAGCCATTTGGGGGTGCCACCGCTGGCACGAGTCCATCCACACCCCCCCGGTGCAGCCCAAACCGCCCGGGGAAGCACACCCTCCCCAAAAATGCAACCCTGCCAGGCCAGTGCAGGAAGAGGAGTGTCTCCGTTTTGGCAGCGAGCTGCTGCCGAGGAGGGCAGAGAGGCTGCTGCTGGCCCCCACACAGGACGGCATCCCTCCAAGGGAGAATTCAAACCATTGGGTTCATACTCGAGGTCTGACTCAGGACGTGCTGGGCGCCAGGCAGCGTTCCCCGGGCTGATGGCCCTTAGCGCTGCGCCCACTGTCTGCCTGCCTTGGAAGGAGGGGCACCTCCTTTTGTGGGTCGTACCCCAAGCCCTGGATGCACTAAACGCTTGTTTGGAGCCAACCTGAAGTTATTTTTTGGAAAATGCCTACAGAAGCATGAAATACCTGGCTGTCCCACTTGCTGAGGGGCGGTGGGAAGTTTTCCTTGGAAATTACAAATCAGAAGTTTTGCCTTGATGTACTGGGGAACACCATCCACTTGTGTGGTGGTTTTGGACTTCAGTCGTTTCCGATTCCTCTGCCAGTACTCAGCATGGGTCCTACTTACACAGTTACGTGGGAAGCCATTTCTAGTAAACAGGAAAACAAGATAAGCCCGTTCAATTCATGATGTAGCAGAGGAGGCCCTCAAAACCTTTTTTTCAGTTAGATATGAGGGTGGTATGAGGCACTCTCAGAGCAACATCTGCATAGATTGTGGCCATCTAAGGGAGTCCTGGCACTGCCTTTAAGGTTGTCCAACCCTGGCCAGGTACAGACCAACTGCACTCTGCTTTGAAGGTGTCTCCTCTTCCTTACGGGCCAGAGGGGCTCTCCTAATAAAGAGAATAATGGTATTTTTAGCAGAATATTGAGGCACATGGGAAATCAATCACACATGGAGAATTGGAAGCAGAGCAAGTAATGTTACGTGCCGCAAGTGCTCTCTGAACAGAACCGGTACATGCTGTGTGTGCTCAATTAGCTGTAGGCCATTAGCCAAGGTCTCCAGCAGGGCTGTGCTGAAGCTCTAGCAGGACACAGTATGAGACTGGAGGATGGGTTTGCTCCACTGTTTCGATTCATTAAGCACCACTGAATTATCTTGCAGGCAAGAAGGCCACCTACTGAGCCAGGAGACCAAGAGACAACAGCACCTCACCACCGGGGAGCTTAACTCACAAGGAGCCGTGTTGCATCCTGCCGTGACAGATCTGGTAGCTGTGGAGCTGCTCAGAAGGCGTTTGTTTGGCTCCACGCAGTGGTTCAAATCTGTACAGCTGCCACCCATCAGGCTTCTCCGATTTTTCAAAAGTCATGGGTAAAAGGAAACCCATGTCAGTTTAAAGCAGTGGTTTTCACCGGCCCACAAAACCGGTTTTGGTTTGTGAACTCCTCTACTTCTCCGCTTTCCAGAAGTTTAAGCTGGGTTGAAGTTTGTCATATAATCACTTTGTTTGTCTTAGTCTTCCCCCCTATATCGCCCAGATGATACCCACAGACTGTTCTGGGGTCTGCTGGCAGCACGCCGCCAGCCGCCGCTTGGACAACAGCCAGGAGAGCACAAGCATGTTATATGGCTTTTTTTGTGCAGTCAGAGTTACCAGAGTTTTCTTAGGGTCTCTGCCGTGGGCTGGGGGTTGAGACACAGCCAAAGGAAGTTCTTTTGAGTGCTACACGAGCCAGTCCTTTATTTTCTACATACTCACACAATACGCCTGTTTTCTTTAAAGAAAGGGGTGATTTCCATTTGACAGCGTAATGCTTTGAGGTAAAATAGCAGCCCCAAGAATAGTTACCCACCAGTGTCTCCCTAAATCTAGGCGACTTTAGAAAAGAAAAGGAAATCTGACTTTTTCTTAAGCTCTCTGCACACCTGCAGCTCTTCAACAAGGTCAACGACTCTCACATTTGCCAAGTAAAGTGATTTCAGCAGTTGCCACAGCAGCTGATGCTGGTTGCTAATAAGGAGCACACAGCTGCCACCACTCACAGCCTGGAGCCCCAGGTGGGAGGATGAGGTTCTCCTGCCCTATACCCAGCACTTGTGGGGAGCTTGGTGTTGCTCTGCTTTGCAGCTCTGGCTCACCTGCCCTCCACCATACACAGATATTAGGGAGATGAAGGGGAGCAACTGGCCCCAGAGGGGGAAATGGGGCCACGCACCCACTGGGCCCCTGCTCTCCTCTACAGGAGCTGCCCTGTCCCCACCAGGATTCTTCCTCCTCCTCAGGCACTGACAATTTCCTGGCTTTTACAAAAACAAATGAGTGGGATTAAGGCCAATTTCAGATCTGCTTCCCCACAGGGAAGCGGCAACCCCTCCCTTCCAAGCATTTAGATAAATATATTGCATCCTCTGGAAGAATAACCTTAAAGACAAACATTTAGGGCCTTTCATAGTGTGACATTTCACTGCTCATGCTAGTCTGCCTATTAGTAGTCACCCCGTTTTCACAGTAATAGCGTGGATAGGAGCTCATACTTCTAGGACAGGAGAAGGCAAGCTAATCCCTTTCACACTGGAGGGTCTACAAAACAGTTAAGCAGCTTTAATTCTTATTAGCAAAGTGCTACAGTATGGGAGAGCCATTTCATTTCCCTCTAATGCACTACAGTAGTAAAGTATCTAGAAACATTAGCTAATTGGCTGTTATTTTCTCCTAAAGATTTCCACAGATATGGAACAGTTTTGATTTCATGGGTTTTGCACGGTCTTCTTTGAAACAAAGATGCATATTTATTCTGTTCTTCCCCATTTCTCTCACCCTCCTGCTATGGACAAAGGAAAGAGAGAAAGGAAAACAGGAAGAGCCAGACAAAAATACACAAATCCCTGAAGGAACAGAAATCAGAATAATTTTAATATTTTTTTTTTTCTGCTTACTGTTTCTCTGGGCATTAATGTCCCTTCAGCAGCAGTTTTTGAGAGTCACAGGGAACCTGAAAACTTTTCTCCCCATAACGTAACTGTCAGCTCTTACTGTAGTCAACTGTACTATCATCTTTTCCTCTGCTTTATATCCTCTAGGTGGTGCTTGTGTATCACTTTCTACACAAAATAAATCATGCTGCTGCTAATCAAGCTTGGAAATTGATTTAAAGTGCTGTGCTACAGATCACTAGGAGCAGAGCATTGTGGTGGACACGCTGGATGGTTTCCTGGTCCAAGCCTTTGCCAGAAAAACATGGTTGTCCTCAGCTTCTTCCCAATGTAAGATACAGGACAAAAAAAACCAAAAACAACTGTGGCACATTCTACTGGAATTTATGAAGATTAAGATCTGATTGTATTTCCTCTGTATTGAACCTTAACACGCTGGTGATGCACGAGACTTTACTGCTTCAGTGCCTGCTCGTGTCCAGTGGCAACTGGAGGTAGAGAGCACACAGCATATCAAGTGTATGTCTAAAAAAAATATGGGAAACAAAAGATTCCTAATCAAAATGGCATTTCCCAAATGCCAGAGCACCATGCTCTTCCATCAACAGCATTGCCAAAGCTTGCAGCTTACAGCAAATACAGGGTTGGTGCAGGGAGGGAAAGAAACCAGTATTCTGCCTCATGAGCAGAGAAAGCGGGTACCTCTGAATGCATCTATTTGTCAGAAAAAAAAAAATTAAAATATTAAAAAAATCAACCTTGGAAAGAAAAAACCCTTTATTACTCCACTTTGATTCAGTGCACACACTCCTGGAAGTACCAAAATGTACCAGAGACTAAATTCTCACCATCCTTCTCCTTTTCTCAATTTCAACAGTATTAATTTAATTTTTACATAACCCATGTAGTAACTCCCTCAGCCCAGCCTTCTCCACCTATGACCACCTGGAACCAACCAAGTCATTTCATTTCCTCTTTCACCTTCATGCTCCTCAAATATTTGCAGACGAGGAGCCTGACTGGCCTCTGTTTGGACTCCTTATCTCAACAGGTTTCAGTCCTTAAAAAGAATTCTCTCTTCCCTTCCCCACACCTTCTGTCTAAACTTCCCAAGGGGTAGTCATCAAACACACTCTCCAGCAAACAGAGTCACTGTTTACCCAGCTCCCAGCTGGACACGCACTGGGCTTTGCCAGGGAAACCTTGATATTCAATGGGAGGACAGCAGGGAGCAGCTGTGCTCCATATGAAATTCCTCCTGCTGCTGTTCTTGAACCTAGACATTCGTGGCCACCTTGCTGAGGAGGTGTGCACCCCTGTGTTGCTACAAAATGGGGGTACCAGGGTAGGAACTTGGAGATTTTCTACTACAAGAACAGGAGCCACTATTTTTTAAGGTCTTAAAAAGCCTTCTGCCCCTCAGGCTTGCTTTGGGTTTTGCTTGTTATTTTTATGTGCAGGAAGCACCACCAAAAGACCATAAATAAGATGGCTAACTTCTCATCAGCTGAGATAAGACCCTGTTTTTATAGAAGGTACAGTGACTTTTGCCCAAGGCCACACTGGAGATGGGATACAGGGCTACCAGCTTGCCTCCTAATTGGCAATATAATTTTCTGCTTTTTTGTCCTGGATCATGGTCCTGGATTGTATCCTTGTCCTCTGCAGGTCATACAGCCAAATGGCCATTACTAGCTCTGTCAAGTTCACACCTTTTACTGCTAATAAATTAATTCATAGAAGTCCCACTGTTTCAATATACCAAAGACAATTTTCTTTTTTTTTTTAAAAAAAGGACATTTAAGCCAGAAGTGGGTTCAATTTTTCAATATTTTCATGATTTAAAACTCACTGACTTCTCCATAGCCAGTTGAGCTGTCGCATCAGATACCCAGCCCCAGGATTTGTGGCTGCTCAACTCTCCAAAAGTCTAGAACCAGATCTCAGGAGGAAGGAAAGGAGTTTTAAACCCTCTTCACCTAGATTTTTAAAGCACTGGTCCTCAAGCCGGACACTGAACAGACAACACAATTACTTTCCATGTGTAAACAGGCATGTCTGCACAACCACTGTTTTCCCTCGCTCCTTGTTAAAAGAGAGGGAATTGTATTTTAACAAGGGGCAGCTAGAAAGCAAATAGCGTGGGAGCAGCACAAGGCAGTGCCCATGGTCCAAGCCCACACCGGCATCTGTCGGGTCCATCTCGGGTACATATTTGTCTTCTGGTGCCTCCTCCTCCCTCCAGGGCTGGTGGAACGTGTAGGGCAACCCCTCCGGCTCCACCCGAGCCTGTTACCTGCCTTTTTCCAGTTCCTCCTGGCCAGGAGGTAGGACAGAGCTGTGCCGTGCCAGAGAGCGAGCCAGAATGTCCAGGGTCGCAACAAGGCTCTGCCAGGAAAGGGCGGCCGCGGAGGGGCTGGGATCCAAGAGGAACGCTGTCAAGTATTTGAATCAGGACTACGAAGCCCTGAAGCAGCGTTGCCTGCAGGCTGGCACCCTGTTCAAGGATGAGGAGTTCCCAGCCTGTCCTTCTGCGCTTGGCTACCGGGACCTGGGACCGTATTCCTTCAAAACCCAGGGGATAATCTGGAAGCGCCCCACGGTAAGAGTGCTTTATAATTGCCTGTTTTACTGGGTTCGGGTGTCATCAAAGCTCAGCTGAACATCCACACTACATCAGTGGTGAGCCTGAATACCCACTGGTCA